AAATGTCCCCTTTGCCCCCTGCTCCCAAGTTGCTTCCTCACTGGGTGTCATGGTCACCCACTAAGGACAGGACAGGGAACTGGGCAGGGGGGAGTAGGGACCATTAAAGATAACAGCAGAGTGGGGAAAACATTTCATGTGGACTCATTTAATCTCAGGACAACCCAGCAAATCAAGAACTTGTTGATAAATCCTGCTAGTTTTCTATTTCTGAGAGTGAAGCAAGTGGCCTCCCATTTCCCTGGACACTACAGTTAGCTGGGCAGTGCTCTCAGCCAGGCTGGGTACACAGAGGAGGTCTCCAGCACATCCAAGTCCTTCCAGGGTAAAGTGTTGGGATTAAGTGACAGTATGGAGGAAATTGCCAGAGGGCAATTTGTCCCACTTTCCAGGGCAATTTCACATGCCTTACGGGGCTGATCTGTCATTCCTGGTAGCCATGGCATGGTTGGACTCATGGGTACCCACAGCTGATCTGGAGAGCCAGGCTGGCAGTTTGCTGGAGCCTGGAGGCCACAGCTGATGGGCATCTTGTCCAGCACAAATCCATGCTAAGCCCCAGTGGTGAAGAAGGTCCACAGCAGCTGGGGCTATACTAGCCTGAGGGCTGCCTCAAATGCTGGAGAAGGGAATCTTCCCCTCTAGGGCACTGCCAAGACAGTTTGTAGTCCTCCATCTGCCTGGAGTCTCCCCATGACCAGGGATGCACTGAGGCACTTGAGCAAGTCCAGCAGCACACAGCAATGTGGCTGGGGCTGGAGCACAGGGCAGATTAGGATAGGCCAAGGGAAGGAAATTCAGGCTTAAGAAGAGTCTAACTGGGGGTTTCTTGCTGGCTTCAGCTATCTGTTTATTTGAGGTGAGCAACAGTATGGCAAGGGGCAGGAGGTACATGTTGCAACAGGGCAATTCTAATTTGATGTTAGGAAAGAAAAAATATAGTGTGAAGTTAGCCAAACAGGAGCCCAGAGAGGTTGTGAAATCTCCATCTTTGGAAGTATTCAGAACTCAACTGAGTGCAGTCCTGAGTGACCTGTTGTAACTTTAGAGCTGGATCTAACTCTGAAAGTTAGTGTTTTTTTTTTTTTTTTTTTTTTTTTTTGAGCTGGGGATAACGGCCCCAGAAGGAGATGTCAAAGAGGCCTTGGCACAGGAGCTGGGATGTGTAAGTGAAAGCAGTGGACAACTGTGCTGAGGCTGGGACAAACCTCCTCCTTGCTCTAATGCTTGCTGGGCTCTGTGGAGAAGCCCAAGGAGAAGATCATGGCCTGGTCCAGCTCCCTGGGTTGCATCCATGGAGATCTGTGTGTGTCTGCAAGGAATCTGTGGCATGTCTTCCTCACTGTGACATGGGGAGTTTATCAGAGGTTTCCTCTGGATGCATTTGTGTCCATACTGGCAGGAGCTCTCTAGACTGTGATGGCCATCCTGGCCACCTGCTCCCTGTCCTTTCTCAGCCGGTCCCTCTTGATTCCCCCTGTAATCCCTGCCTGCTCTTCTGGGGTACCTGACATGGGAGGCAAGCCAAAAGCCATCCCATTCTGCGGGTCCTGCCACAGCACCTCCCTTTTAGCTCCTACTGTCTGAAATGAAATGCAGGAGGCCTGGAAGATACCACCAAGCTGGTATCTACCCTACAAGAAAGGAGATTTTTCATAGTGCTGACTACCCCGGCCTTGTCTTTGATCACTTTCCTTTGAAAAAACAGTGTGGAGTTTAAAATCAGGTGGAAAAATGCCTATTTACTCAACACAGAGCCTCACGGATGCACCTCTCTCCTGTGGAGAGAATAAAGAATAACCTCTGCAAAACTAATTGCAGATATTAGTCACACTGGCCACTAGATGACGTTTGGGCACCCAGGTGATGGGTGTCATATGAACATGTTTGTGTTGATGAGACCTAGGTTTTGGAAGAAACCAAGGCTCCTAAACTGCAGGTGGGCTTAGAAAAAGAAAGACAATTTGTTTTGAAAACAGCACTTTTTTTTTCAGTCTAATTGTCATTTTCTAAAATAATCTTCTAATTTAAGACTAATTTAAGACCAAGCTCCTCCAAGCCAAAGGTAGTGAAGTTACAGAAGGCTTTGTTTTCATGCCAAAAATATATAATATGTGGTTATTTTATACATATAGATACATAAATATATAATATTTATAAATATATGTATATATATAATATAATATTATATTATATTGTATTATTTAATTCTAGTGTCCAAGCCAAAGGTAGTGAAGTTACAGAAGGCTTTGTTTTCATGCCAAAAATATATAATATGTGGTTATTTTATACATATAGATACATAAATATATAATATTTATAAATATATGTATATATATAATATAATATTATATTATATTGTATTATATAATCCTAGTGGTAATGATCAGAAGTTATCTCCATCTGAAAATGAGGAATCTCCACAAATGAGTCCCAACCTATATGTCTGTGATATGGGCCACAGTTTTGCCTTTACTTCTTTGCACTTTTAACAGAGGTTTAGGCTCTTTCAGTACTGCTTGGAGGGATGCAGGTCCTTGCAAACTATCCTGGATTGCAACATTTGGGAGGGGGGTGGTTGGAAAAGAGAAGATAAAGCACAAGGGGTTTTGCTGGTTGCCTCATTTTAAGAATGATCTCTTTGTGTCCTGACAGGAGGACACAGACATGCTCTTCTGATCACATTTATGTGATGGAGTCAGAAACAAGGAAATTTTCAGTTCAAGTTCTGGATGCATCAGACTGAAATTTCAGGGCCCCATTCAAATAATCAGATGTTTCTGCCCTGGACTCAGTTTTTCGTCTTTAATCTCTCTGTTTCAGAGTGATGGTGCTCACACTCCTCCTGGAGAAGTCTGGCTCCTCTTATCTCTAGGGCAATGAAGCCCTGTGAGTCCTGTGGTTTCCCTGACTTTTGCCTTATCTGCAGATTGAAAACAGACCTGAGCAGAAGACTCACATCTACCCAGGGAATCTTGCAGTGCCAGAGCCTTCAGGACCTGGGGAGCCCCACTGCAGCAATTCTCAGGGGAAGGAATGCAGATGCTCCTGTCAGCCTTCCTGAACACAGAGAGGGCCACCGTACACGCTGGAAGGTTGGCTGCAGGGAGGGGAGCAAGATGGATAAAAGTGCAGTAAATAGCAATGATATGTGGGATGAACTTAAAAGCCCGAAATGCAGGCTGAAATCCCAAGGATGCCCCAAATCTCCTGTGATTTTTGCCAAACCTTATGCAGCCCTCTGTCTCAATTTCTCCCTCTCTGTTAAATGTCATACATGCATGAATGGGGGAGGATTTCAGCTTCATTCGAGCTACACAGCGCTGTGTCCCCATGAGGATAACAGCCACCACCCTGGTTATTTAACTCCTGTTCTTTCCTGCACTTAGCTCCAGTTCCAAACATCTAGGTTTTTGCTAAGTGAGAAAGCTTTTAGTTACCACAGACTGACTCAATGTTCAAAACTTGCTTGTTCTGGCCTGCAAGGTGAGATGCGTCACTCAGTATGTTTTCATGTTACATTTTGCTTAGATATTCAAATCAACTGAAAAGGGATGGTTCTTCAGTCTCTTGGCCTGAATTCCCCCATATTTAGGGCAGGCCATTTCCTAACTACACAAACATCATCTTCTATTGATTCTATCGAGTTATCCTAACACATTTGTGCAATGAGTAGTCAAATTTACCAATTCTCCCTCTGCTCCCATTCATGACACAAGAACTCAGGAGCACCCTACCAGTCAGCAGAACCAGCACAGGAGACAAGTCATACAAATATTTGAGGTAAGTTTTCCCAGAATAAAGAAATAACAGACAATTAGTTTAAGAGGACAGTTCAAAAAGAGCTATCCCAACATTTCTCAGATACTGCATGATTACCCATGAAGTCATTTTAACCATGCAACCTCATTTCACAGTTTTGCTACAGTTTTTCTGCTCTTTTCTTTGCATTTTGCTCAAGAATAAGAGAAAGAGGAGGATTCCATTTCACTTTACCAGGATCTGTGCAACTACAAAATTTTCTTCTTATTTCCATTACAAAGTACTTCTAAAATCATTCTGATGTAGAGCAAATTACTCAATATGCAGAAGTGCAGCAAGAGCTCAGACTAAGATGCTCTAAGCACTTCATATGCCCTAGACCACAAGTCACAATCCATGCAATTTGTAGACGAAACATACACTCAGTCAAGAGTTTTGTGCAGATCAAAAAACAATGAGTGACCTCAAAAATTATCACACTTTGCTGTGCATAGAAATAACACAGTTCTATCTAAAAGAAGCCAAGAAGAGCAGCAACTGTCTGGATGAGAGAGCCATGAGATGAGAGATGTCCTGTGTGTATGTGCCCTTGGCAAAGGACAGGGAGAGAAGGTCAGGAAGCAGGGAGAGAAGGGCAAAGGAAGAAGGCTGCAGCTCTAGCCAAACGTACTCCTAAAGTATCCCCCCATGTCAACAAATGGTCTGCGAATTTCTGCAGCCAGAAGTAATGTTGTCCCCTCTTTTTTTTTCTAGATTTCCTCAGCAGTCTTTCCTCTGCCAGCCTGAGGTTCAAAGTGGTCTATGTGAGTAGCCCACATGGGATGGGATGGGAAGGGGAAAGGACGGGAGCAGAGGCAGGGTGGAGGTAGGAGTGCAGGATACAGGACACGAGGGTATATATGGTCACCCCCGCCTCGGCAGAGGGTAGACAGGGACAGGGGGGTGTGGGTGTGGGGGAGAACCCACATGTCCTGTGCACCTGGTTCTTCACTCTGTCACCCAACAATGATGCATCTGTTCTGATGGGCACCTGTGGTGTTCACAGAGCCTCTCATGTGTCCTATGGGGAGAGAATGCCCCTGTGATCCCTTCCTACACAGCTCTGAAACCATATTCTCCTTTTAATGAACAATAAAAGCCATGTAATTCTCCTCCAGCTGACACCATTGCTTCAGGGATTATCTCACACTGAGATAGCTTAAGCAATCTGCGGCAGGAAGGCTCTGACCCTCCTCACCATGGATGCTGTGAGTGAAAAAGAGGATGGCAGCCCAGAAGAGACTCAGACTCCCAACTTTGTGTTACCATCTACACCTGATAAACCCTTCAAATCTCAATTCAGTCTGACAAGGTAAGAGCTAGTCTAATTTTACAGAAAAGGAATCCATGACAGAGTTTGTAGAAAATTAGTAGGAATTGTACAAATTGCTCAAGTGGAAGATAGAAACCATAATATCTTTTTCTGTCGCCTCCTACTTGAGATGGGGAAGATTGTGACTAGAACAGGAACTCTAAAGTGAGCTGTGTTGACAGGGGAAATGGTGAAGTTCCTTTCAGCCCTTGCTGATGCTGATGGCATCCATTATTTCATTGGTCTGTCCAGTGCAGAATGGATAGCTAAGCTGATGGGATATGTGGGTGTTAAACCTTTGGCCAGCTTTCGAACAAGGGGCGATGACATTCAGGATGATCTGACAGCCTTAGAGACTGGTGTCCTAGGAACAGGAAGGTACATTAGCACAGAGAGCAAAGCCATCTGCTTAGAGACAAGTATCAGGTGCCTGTGCTACTTGATCAGTGCTTGTCAGCTGAAGGTGAGAGGAGAAAGACCACAGACATTAATGTGAGGCAGTGCGATGCAGATATAGAGGATTTATCAAGTAAGGTTGGTCCTAAACAGTTAAAACCACATCAGAGCTGTCATAGGATTCTTTGTAAGACCTGGCTGATGACGACAGAGGATACAGGAGCCAAGGCAGCTTTAACCCTCCTGTTAGTCCAGTCTAAGCACTCCCTAGCCAGGAAGTGTGACAATGGACATGCAGCTCAGCAGCCTGTTCCTTTTGGGATCAGTGCCTGGCCCTGCTTCCCAAGGGAGCATGGAGATGTCTTGGTGCCTGGGCTAATCCTGTGTTTGTTCAATCTGAAGAGAGAGCGAGCTGTCCTCATCCCACAATGACAAGCATCTCTGCCACACTAATGTTAATGCTCCATTGAGGCTGCTCGTGCTCCTTTCAGCCTCTCTTGAAAAGTTAATGTTCTACCAGCGGGACTGAAGCTAATGGAGTGACAAAGTTACAGCTGTTGATTAGCGCAAATAAGAGATAAATGAACACTTGGGTGAAGAGGAAACACGTGCGTTGCCAAACTGAAACTGAGTAATTATTGCTCCCAGAAGCATGACTCCCCTGGAGTCTGCAGGAGCTCAACATTCCCAGTGGTGGTGTGGTGGGACCTAGGGAAACCATTCTCCTAGTTCTTCAGTATATAACATGTACCAACAGCAACATCCTTAGTGGGCTTCAGTGTCAAGATTTTCTGCACTGAATTGAGATTTTTATTACTAGTCCTGACAGCACACTTGTCTTAAGGAAGAAAATGTGTTTGGTTTAGCTCGTGTGTGCTTCTTGGATGGTGAAAAACATGGCAAAATCTTTGTAGGGTCAATGCTGAGCAAAGTTTCCACATGTGAGCAAGTCAAGGTGAATTTCAGGAGATGGTATAGAGCTAAACATGAGCAGCTAATAGTGAAAATTAAAGAATGTTTGTGTAGGTGAATCAGTGGGGTGTTTTGCGGTCTTCCAATCTTGAAGTCAGTGTGATTCATACCACTGACTTCACTGGGGACTCACCCTATCCTGGACTGAGCTTGTCTCTTGCTAATATTTGCAGAGCTATTGGAGCATTATCATGAGCATTTTTCCTGATGGGCTAAGCTTGTGAGATGACTGATGACATCTAATTCCTAACTCTAACTGGGGGATTTTTGTATGTCCAGCTTGTCCAGTCCCTCATCATTTACGTTTGGATGAATTTCCTGAGATGCATTCCATGTTCCATCGGGAAAAGCTCTGTTCCCCTCTGTAAGTGAAAGGCTAAATATAAACTCAGAAGTGATAAGGTTTGGGAACATCTTTTTTACCCAGAAATACTGGACATGATTTGAGATATATCCTTATAGGATATCACCTATATCAAATGAGTTAATGGCTGTGATAGGGTAACACTGACATATGAACTAGGGGTTTTCAGAATATGTTTGGCTGCAAATTAGAAGAAAGTTTCTAATCTCCAGAGCAACAAGTTCTGCTTCCGCCAGGAGGAGCAGGAGCACTTACTCATTAAAAGGAGAGGGATCAGGTCATGAAGGACCGTGTGATGTGGCTGTTTGTGTTAGCAGGGGACTCTGGCAACTCCAGAGATCCTTGTCAGACTTTCAGATATGTGAAACCATGTAAATATGAACATGTGGTGATGAGCAACCAGTAAATCTTGGCTCTCCAGCCCTTGGCTGACTCACAGGTGGCTGTTTGCACTCATTCAAGATTATTGCAACTGGATGTAGATAGTAAGGGCAGTCCAGCTCACGTGGCACTGGATCCCTGCCTCGCAGCTGTGCACGTTGGAGCCGATCACTCCACACCTCTGATGGAGACACTGCAGGGAAACCACCAGTTGCAGAAGTGATTCATAGGATGGGCCTCAGATGCCTGTTCTAGGTGGGGATGATTCACCCTTTGAGGCTGCCTATTTGTTTTTTATTTTTTTGTAAAGAATGTGCAGGGTGACAGGCTCAGACACTTTGATTTTGCATGCTGCTAGAGCAGAGAAGTGCTCTGCCCTAAAGAATTCAGGAAAATCCCTTGTAGATTGCCTTTCTTGCTTTCATGCACAAAATGACTAGAAGAGCACCAAAAATAAAGGGGTCAGACATTTTCAGCATCCAACACAGGATCTTGCTTAAACAGTTTTAAGGAGAAAATTAATATCTCAGTGCCATCTTGTGGAACAATCCATGTAAGGGGACAGGCAATGGCAACAGGTGCATCCAGTGCCATCCTCAGACCATGATTCATGGGACCATCCTAAATGGTCTGGTGCTGGACCATAGGTTGCATTACACTGAAAGTGCTAAAGAACCTCCCTTGACCCCTTCAGCTGACCCAACACTTCAGATGTGCTCCATCTGGGACCAATATCCATTTCTGCTTGATGATCTACAAGAAAATACTGTCCTGGAAGCACATTGGAGTTTTAGGGGATTTGTTAGTGATTTCAGTAATTATGCCTCAGGTGCAATGATTAAACCAAAGATTTCCACTGGAACCCAGGATGCCTTTCTTGTCTGAGAAGAGTGCAAGTCCTTGGGAGCCCGGCATTCCTGGAAAATGCCTGTCTGCTTCTCAGCCCAAAGTAGAATATATAGGTACCTATAGCTATGTTCAGAAACATGAGAAAAAGCCTTTCAGAGTCAATGCAGCTGCCTTCTTATTTATAAATAAAGTGTAATGTGAAGGAGTCTACTTGAAAGGCCCTTGAGATCTAGGAAAGAAAAACAAAGTTCTAGGTCCAGATACGAGACATACTGAGAAATGTTGCGAGGTCTTCAGTACACACCGACACCAGGACTTCAGCTTTATATCACATCCGGAAACTATCATGTGCATAAGAAATGTGTGGCTCCATAACTGCTCTGGACTGGAACTCCCAGGCTCATGTTTGTGTGCTCCACCAGGTGTTTGTGTCCTTCATGTTTTCACTGAAGAGAAGAAAGTGACCTGGAATGATCAGTTGGTCCCTTTCTCTGTCCCATACCTTGGCTCACAACCCAAAAGGAGAAAAAACTTTCTAAGTAGGAAGGTGCTGTAGGAACACCCTTTCTAGCAATGTGATTATCATCCCTCACGATTATGTACTCTTTAATATCCCAGACAGACTAGTAATTACTGCATATTTAGCCAGCAGTTCAATGAGGTCAACAACTGATTTGTTGCTGTAGGAGGGCTTGTCCTCCTACAATAAAACCCTTCCTTGCTTCAGGGGAGACAATCATCCACGGAGAACAGAGGAGAATCAGCTTCCCAGGTTCTTCCACACATCTGCACAACATCCTGCGGGTGAGAACATCCTTGCTCATGAACTTCTGCAAATCAGCAGCATAGAGTGAGGCATCGCCAGGGACAGTCAGCAGAACGCTGTGCTCTAACCCACGCAGCTGCCTGTGTCTGTTCTGGGGCTGTGTGTCACTTCCCTTTCAGAAAGATACTTAAAAGGCATGGTAGGTTTAGATGAAAGTGAAGAAAACCAGCAAAAATCTAGACAGGCCTCATGGGAAAAGGTCGTGACAGCTCAGTGCTTGAAAAAGAGCAATTGAAGAAGTATTAAAGCATATTTATGGTGGTGGGGTAAGAGTATTACTGCAGTTGGTGGGCAGGAAGATAAGCAGAGGGAATCAGAAGGTTGAGATTTTATTGCTGAGTGTGTGAGAGTGAGGGCTCTGATATCCAGGGGAAATCGAAGGTGTCCACCTGTTATTGCTGGGATCCGGATGTGAAGCTATGCATATTCCTTATGCTGATTCCCTGTTCCTGCCATGAGTATGCTCTGGTGTTATGTCATGCAAGCACTGTACTCTGCAGACCACACAGTTATTAGCCTTTCTCCAGGGATTATTACTGGAGAGACGTCTCTTCTAGTATGACATTAGAGGGCAGGAGGGAGGGTTCAGTGAGGAGACTGTGCACTAATGTGACCAATGTTGTGGACATGGAGTGCAGTCAGTACATCCAGGTACATGGTGCAGCAGGACCCAGAGCAACAGAGAAGAGTCCCAGCTGATGAACTAAGGGAGCACATTCTGCAGCATCATCTTGGGAAAGGAAATATTCAACCTGCAACAAATCTATAGGCATTGGCTCCTTCTGGGCTATGGACAGCGGTACACACCAGTTTCAGACAGAACATCCTCACTGCTGGCTAGGCATGAACAGGATAGTCCTGCAAAAATACAGGCAAATCCCACCCATTAAAGGAGAACAGCACCAAGCCAGCAGGTTATAAGCAGACACAGGCAAAATTCCTATTTGCTGCCTGCACGTGTGGTGAATGAGAGACTTCAATAACACAGTGAGGCTGCTTACAGCCCTATCCTTTGGGAGAGACACTGCTCCTGGGTTGCAAGGCACTTGTAGTAGCAATGTTACAGCCTCACCATTTAGATTTAAGTGTATGGCAGGGAAGAGGGACTTTAAAGCTGTCTGCTATTTTATTGGCTTGTTCATCGTTAATCAAATGAATGCAGGTGTCTGAGAGTGAGAGGAGGTTGCCAAGTTTCAAAGGGTAACTTAGCTCAGCACAATGAAGTCTGCTCTCACCACAGGAGCTCTTGCAGCAGCGTGCCGGAGACGGGGAGCAGAATGCTGGAGAAAATTCAGAAGATGCTCACGATTCAAAACAAGACCATCAGGGAGCTGCTGGCAGAAGCTCTGGGGATGTTCATCCTGATGGTAAGGAGGAGACAGGCCCAGATGTGCATGTGTGTAGGGGGGATGGAATGTAAGTGTTTGCAGCAGCAGGTTGTGAGTTCAGTGTTCTCCTGCCACATCCTCAGGGTTGCTCACCAGCTTGAGATTGCTGATTCACTCTCTCCTCCGATCTCATGGCAGCTTCAGATCAGGGCGGACAATCTGTAGAAGACTTTCTGCTGAAAAAAGGCAATTCGAGTGGTAGGTGGGGCATGGAAAGAAGGTGAAGCAGACTGGGGTGAAGAGTCTGGTCCTCTTTCCTTCTAGGAAAAAACAAACAGGAGTCTTTGAATGAAACCGGAGAGCAGTGTCTGGTCGGACAGAGCTTGTGACAAACCCCTTTAAGCCCACGGTGAATTAGTGCTCTCCCCCACCACGGTGCCGAAGGGGACAGTGTGGGCTGTCACTGGTGCCCTCCTGAGATCCTGCTCAAGGCCCAGGGGATCAGTGGGCACCTTGCTCTGTGCTCCTCTGCCACTGCCTGCCTCTGTGAAATGGTCTCTGCAGCCACAACCCACCGTGAGGAAATATAATTGCCAGGTGTAAAGTGTGCCAGAAGTTTGCTTTCAGTTGTCTTCCGCTGGCAAATGAATAGTGTTCAGTCCGATTCACACAAAAATCTCCGTCCCTTGCTGGCAGGATCCCTTGATCATGAGGTGAAGTGGTTTTGAGCTTTCAGGCTGCTTCAGAGGTGTTTGGGGGAGCGTTGCCTTCCAGGGCAAGGAAGGCAGGGGCAGTTGCTTTGCAGTCAGAGTTGATCCCTGGGGTTGGTGAAGTGCCTACTGGGATTAGAGCCTCAGTGTGCTGACCCAACATAACAAAATGAGATCTTCTCTTTCAAAAGGTCCAGTAATTGTCTGTGATAATTTATTATGCTTGGACTTAGCCTGTAGACAATTCTGGGCAGAGCAAGGCACTTTAATTTGGGCAGAGGCCACCACAGAAGAGTTGAGGATTATCTGAATCATTCATACTGGGATATTTCCATGAAGAGGGGCCTTTTGACATATCTTGGAAATTGGATATAGACATCTGTGACTCCTCAGCAGGACCTCAGCAAATATTTTTCCTTTTCCATCGCCTCTGTTTTTGGTGGCAAAACTTCACACATGACAAAGAACTTTGGGGATGTTCTGCCAGGGTGGCAGCAGGAGGAGTACGTAGAGTAATTCTTGTCTTCGTGCCTATGGCTATGACAGTTCAAGGCAAGTTTTGCAGAGCAAGCAACTCATGTAGACTCTTTCCTCCCTGAGCAATGTGAGATGATAGAGTAGGAGGAGGGACACCCAAGCACACTAAGCAGCCCTATCAAAGGTTGGTGGCAGTAATCAAGCAGCATCCAAAGGCAGTATCCTTGGAAGCCTCTGCCTCTTGCTGCACCTGGGAATGTCCTCCCTGATCTGCAGGACTCCTGGCTGTTATTTGGATGACAACCCCCAGCAAGGACAAGGGCTCTTGTTTCAATAGAGAGTAACATTCATAAACCAGGCAGCAAGGGTAAGTGGCACTGGGAGTGGGAAGGCAGGAAAAACAAAGGTTATTTTGGGATCATGAGAACAGAAGAAATGACCAGAAGTTTGGATCTGTGCTGCAAAATAGCTTGTTTGGCCTGTCCCTTACTTTTTTTTTCACTCTAAAAAAGTTTCAGTTCATCTTTAATAGCATCTTCTGCTCTGCTCCCCTCCTTTTGCATTGGCATGCATCCCTGCAAAACCTGCATCCTTTCTTGATGCATTTAATCCTCCTGGACCTTGGAAAGGCTCAGAAATAAACAGCAATATAATATAAATATATACACACACATATATTTTTTTCTGGGAGACATCCCAGATGGTACTTTGGGGTACTTTTGGCTGAGGCAGACTGGGAAAAGGCCCAGCGCTGTGCAGGCTGCACCTTTGTGAGGAGCATGCAGCATTGTGTATGTACACGAGATAGGTGAGAGCAGTGTCTCTGGGGAACAGGAGGTTTTGGTGGTTCCTGAAAGGGGAGGAAGAGAGCAGACACATGAGATAAAGATTGGATTTGGGTGTAGAAACAAGTAAAGATCTAAAGAAGATAGGTGCTGCAGAGCATACTGACTTATTTTGTGGAGGGACATGTTACCTGGTCCTTGTTCTCCTTGGATAAACACTGGTATAGCTTAAGGTAGCCCTGAGTTGTTTGAGAGGCAGACATCTCAAAAGAAGCTTTTTTCCCAGCATCTGACCACATTAAGGGTGAAGCATATTTACTTTCAGCACAGAGCAATTTCATGAAAATGCATTTTCCTGCTG